TTTTCTTCTGATTCTGTGAGAAGTGGGTGAATATTTTAAGACTTTGCTATGTTCTCTCGCTGATTACCAAAGAATGGAAACAGCGAGAAAGGTAGTATCAATCTTCTTTGTCTACTGGTTAACACAAAATATTCTTGAAAAATCGCTGATGTACTGCCATCATAAGCATTGCCAATAAAAAATGGGGGATGGTCCCACGCAAGTATTTTAAATTTGAAAAAAATAATCTGCCAATATGTGAGTAACCACAAATAGGTTTTTGTGAAGTTAAAGGCTTATGCATAGTGGGGCTCTGCATGCAATGCATGGTTGGGTTCGGAAATAACAGCAGAAAAATAGGCAATTAGCGTCTCAACAAAAAATTGATTTTCAGGAAAGTCATGGTTTCAGTAAATGCAAGAATTTCGTCCGACGGCGACACCATGAAGATTGGGAGGGCGTGATCAGCTTTCTTCCCAAGGACAGTCCAGGTGACTCACAGCAAGGAATGGAATCTGGGGCCCACTAAAACTGACACTGTCCAAGCAGCCAGCTCTCCCATCATGTTCACCTGATGGACTTTCTCTCGATGTACATTGACCATCCCTTTTCACTGTCTTTTAGGACACCACAAGCCACAATGATCATTCTCAAGGTGTTCACTGTTGTCCATGTGGTGTTAGGTAAGTCATCACACGCTCAACTAAGAAGAGTGAGTGAAAGGTCACCATGTAACACAGATGCCAACTCTTTATCACAGGAACCAGCAGCCTTCCTGCTAAGGTAAAAAGACAAGTGGAAAATGAGCCATCAGAAGCACCTCCAGGGCCACCTGACGGACGACCCGCAGGACGACCTGGTCCACCAGACACACCTGGTCCACCAGGGCCACCTGATGGACGACCCGGAGGACGACCTGGTCCACCAGACCCACCTGGTTCACCAGACCCACCTGGTCTACCAGGGCCATCTGACGGGCAACCCGGAGTACGACCTGGTTCACCAGACTCACCTGGTCCACCAGGGCCACCTGACGGACAACCCGGAGGACGACCTG